TTTTTTAATTGAGACGACCTCGGGGAAGTCGGATCGAGTTCACGGTTCCTGTGATCACTGTCAACAATGCGGCGACATTCACTCTCCGCGTGACGATGCCTGCGCTCCGTATCGAATCGACGCTCATGGTGACCCGACGACGTACAGCATTCGGGGAAGAGAATTGATTGGAGAAAAATCCACGAAAACGACGCTCATGACGGTTAGGCTGCGCTTCTACGATTCTATGAGTCACGCTTGAGCGTGCCGACCTTGAGGCAGTCGTTGTCATTCTCAAATATCAGCACTTCTTCTCCATTTCTCAATTGTCATCAATGTCGTTCCACCGACTCATCGCGGCGAGTGCGAAATCAACGACCGACGCCGTCGCGACCGTCGTCGTACTTCCTCCGCTCCGATTCCCCCCTCTCGGAGAAACGACAACTCTCCAGTCGCTCCGAGTCGAGGTTCTCATTCCGTTCCGGCAGCCGTCCGGTGCTCGTGATTCGTGATGCTCGTGGTCTACCTGCTGGCGGCGGCAGCAACGTTCTCGCTTAGCCATGCGAGATCTGAGGGCTGGAATGCGACGTGGACGAAGTATCAGAAGACGAAACCGGCTGGGTTGATTCTCGTGGCTGTGAATATGTACGTTGAATCAATCGACAGGATCGACAGCCTAGAGGGCCTGATCCAGATGACTGTCATCTTCCGTCAGGAATGGTCGGACCAGAGCCTACATCATCATGTACCGACCCATTACGTCCCTCAGTACGAGATCGTGGATCGGCACGATATCTGGGTCCCGGACACGTATTTCGTCAATGAATTCGACTCCTACGCGCACTCGATACTCGAGGTACTCGAACGAATTTTTCCTCCTCGATAGCTCTGCGTTCGGTCCGAGTGCCTCCTCCAGGAACCGTTATTTTCCAGGATAATAGTCTGGTACGCGTGGATTCGTACGGGAAGATTCTGTACAGCAGAAAAATATCGCTGACCCTCAGATGCCCCATGGAGCTCTCGGGTTTCCCCTTCGACACCCAGGTCTGTAAGCTTCGCATTGGCAGCTTCAGCCACATCCGGGACTCAATCGACTATCGCTGGAACAGTACTCAGGCTGTCGAAGTGAATCAAGATATTCCGATTCCCGAGTTTGAGCTCCGTGAGCACGAAACGAATCAGTGCCACGCCCGCACTCCGACTGGAGAATATTCGTGCATCCAGGTGGAATTCACACTCAAGAGACTCTGGAGACACTATTTGCTCAAGGTGATCAATGATTCGGTAGTAGAAAACTCCTGGGAGGATCTGACTGACTTGGTCAATTCATTGCGACATTTCGCCCGATTCCCGAGCTCTGGAGGCGCTTCGCACGATCGATGGATATCCACCCCCTTCTTTTTGACGCCGAGATAATGGAGTTATAATCATAAGTTTCCTCTTCCGCCCCGGCGGGCTCGATTCATTCCAGGTATTCGTACCTCTGACAATGCTGGTGGTTCTCGCTTGGCTCTCGTTTTGGCTCCGTCAATCGAGCGTGCGTATCACCATTCTCATGTTTGTGCTCTCTCTGGCCGTCATCGGAGTAGGATCATTGAACAACACATTGCCTCACACGAACTACGCCAAGATGATCGACGTATACAGCGGAGTCGCGTAAGTGGAGCCGAGCGCCGCCAAGCTCAACGAGCTGTTCTCCCCCCTACACCCGCTCCAGGGAGGGGTGGAGATCAGAAGAAAAGACGGAAAGCTCCGTTCCGCGGTCAGAGCAAGAATCTACAAGTATTTTCCTCGTCTTTTCAGACTTTCGTTCATTTTCGCCGCCATCGTCGAATTCGTGATCGTGTCGAGACGGGTGCCCGATGATCTGGAAAAAGACGACATCGAAGACAAAATCGACGTGACGGCTCGCGTCGTTTATCCACTCTGCTTCGTGGGCTTCCTTCTGGTTTACTCTTTGAGCGCGTTGCTGCGATAGGACATTGCGACAACCGCTTGATGATGAATTTGTTGACAATGAGATCAGACGGGTGGAGCGGAACTCTTACGGGCCGTATGTCCCGACATCGCGTCTGATCAGGAATTATGAAAATTTATTCACAATTTCCGCGTGCGGTTCGTTGCCTTCCAAGGTGTCGTGAGGCCAGTATTAAAGTTGATCACGGGAATTCCGGTTTCTATCTGATAAGAATATGCGTCTCCATAGTTCCTCGAAGTGAGCAAACTTATATTCGATTCTATCAACGAGTCAGTTTTCACCCTCAATCTTCCTCATGAAATTTACGTCACGGCCGATTCATATGTACCACCAAATAACTTCGAACTCCCATCAGCTGCGCAAGGTCTCTCCAGGAGTGAGTTTTTCAATCAAGCTTCTCCTGAGATCGTGAGACCGAGTGATCCCTTTGTCAGACGCAAGAACCGGCTGAGCTGAGCGTGGAATGCGTTCATATTCACAGCATAGAGTCCTCAAGATTTGACATGGTGGACATTCGACTCAGGTCCAGCAGCCTGAGGGAACTCTGAGGGGTGGAAACGCGTCTTTCTCGACGTCCGTTTTGTATTCTCATCCTTTGGCTTCTTTGAGTTCCTCTCGAGGAAACGTTCTCCCGCGTTGAGTCATATGCTCCGTCGCCATACCCCCGTTTTTTGAACAAATTATATCGATCGCGGGAGCCATCTCCGGAAGGGCGCTTGCGCAAGGTCGAACTTCCGTCGAGTAATTCTCTGCGGCGAGGATCGCGGAAAGGGGTATGTGGAAGTTTCTGAGCACTCGAAGTAGAGGTTTCCCGCCGCAATCTGGGATCCTCCCATTACAAAAAAGTTCCCGACCTTGCGTAGTCACCTCGGCAGGAAGCCTATAAATCGGAAAGATTCCTCCGGGGAGAACCTACGTATGGGGAATTCATTCACTCGACTACATGGAATATCCGCCATGTTGAAATTCTCGATCTTCCTCGCGGTTCCTGGAAATATTCCAAAGAAACACAAGAAGCTTACTGGGAAGTCTCTCGGTATCGTTCGGCGGGGTACTCAAATGTAAGGTCCCTCGTGGCCTTTGAAATGCGGGCTTGCAAAGCTTCGATCGGAGGATTCCGACCCCGGTGCCATCACTCACATTTTCAGAGGCCTGATCGTGACGGAAGAAATCGGAGAGCCATTGTATATCGATGAATACCGACGTGAGGGATTATTGATCATTCAAGGGCGCTCCTTACTCTCCCCACCCCTTATTCACATTCTTATTCCGAAAACGGGAAGGGAGATTGGGACGATGGCTCAACCTTTCTGCTTTCAGCGACGAAATCTCAGCCGCATTTTCCACGTTTCGCTTTTCCTATTCGTGTAAGGTCACTTTTCTGTCGAATATCATATTTGGAAAGCTTTGCCCTTTGTCTTGGAGATTCTCGCACTCTGGAAAAATCTGAGCCTGTGTTTCCTCTCCCCTACAGCATGCCAGGCAGATCGCTCCGATGTCTTTGATCCAAGACCTGAATTTTCAGGTCTGTGAACTTGCCTTCCGAGCATCAACCAGGAGGTGATTGCCTCCCGCGTTTTGATATATTATGCGCTAGATATTTCTTCCCAACGTTTTGAAATTCCTGTACCGTTCAAGAGTCTTCACTTCGAGAGTTTCTTCCCGAACATATTGGCATGTACTCCTTGCGACAAAGTTTAGACGATGACTCGACGGAAGCCCGGCAGGCTCACTCGGCGAGATTGAGATAATGGAAAAATTGATCTGAATGCTCCGTGACAAAATTATCGAGAGGAGTGCGCGATAGCTGATTCCCGGGAACTCCATGATGCGTTCGACTTTCGCCTCAAGAATTTACTCGAGCCTCGCTGCTCATCCGAATCGTGGTGGGTTGAGCGACTGGGCCCCAATAGAATGATGGGAGGAGAGAAAAGCACGAAGGAACGCGGTGGACGAGGAAAGCCTATCCTATACACTTGCTAGTCTGCAAAGCCTCTTATGTAGATTATGCTCACAGACATCAGCTGATCCGTCACATCACAGCGAAAATGAATTAAGATCAATATATTCCCAAAACTTCCCGGATCAAGCTCTGAGTATTGTGGCTGCGAAGTTTCATCGCTCTTTATTCGCTCCTTGAACAACAAATCAGGGCTGATCTCCAGTATCTAAGAGCAATATTACCCCATCAGATGAGGATTAGAGAGGATTCGCCCGATGAGTATGTACTCTGTGCGGGGAACAGGGACGCTCGTGGTCAGAAGCTGAAGAAAGAATAAGAGACGGATGGGCTCTGAGAGCCCTCGAGCGACGTATCATCGCTTCAAAGAGCGCTATCCCGGGCAAATATTTGGTCGTCTTGTATGATTCGACCCTCAGCCAAGGGTTTAGGGTGAATATTCTCGTAATATGTGGACACCCGCCTGACCGGCCGCTCGTCCGTCCACCTGCTCGCCCTCAGTCCCGCTCTTCGATCGAGAGAGAGAGAGATCGAAAGCTTTCCAACGAAAGGTATTTTTCTCTGTTTGCACCATTCTCTAGGGAATTCGGTGTCTGGACAAGCTCGATCCGGAATCAATTATTGGGCTTTTCGCTCCCCACGGCCGTGAATCCGCCCTTGGCTCCTCGTGCTCTCATCCTGAAGGTACGACTGACGGATCCAAACTCCGACGGATCGCGGGAGGAGCCGTTGAGAACAACGCACTGGAAAAGAGACGGGGACCGACCGACGTGCGCCCCATGACCCATGACTCACGTGAGAGAGGGAAAGTCGGTCGGAAAAGAGTTGTTTCGAGAGTAATTGTGCCTGACGGAAAGTAGGCGAGAAGGAAGCAGAAGGATTTATTCTGTGGTGAACAAGTCATCATCGGCACATCATCATCAGAAGTTCACGACGACAAGCGAGCTGTAATATACGCTAAGCCTTCACGCTCACCTCGGCAGTCTCATCAGGGCATGCGTCGTCTTCCTGCACCAAATTACTGCACGTCCTTCCCCGGTAGGCTCGGCCCAAGGCTCGGGGGACGTTCGGGGGGCGATGCACGGCAGGATTTACAACGACAGCACGGGCCGAGAAGAGGCGGAGAGCAGAAGCGGGCCCGACTGAGAAAACAGCAGCGTCAGAAGCTCCCGGTGCCGGGGTCGCTCCTCGCTAATACCGCCAAATGCTCGGCGCCTCGGAGACCTCGTTAAGCCCTTACGCCCTACTGTATTCACCCACCAATCGCCTTCGCACGGTGCACGCTCGGCTTTTGTGCTTAATACGGCCGACATTGTGTCGGCCTTTCGCCCATTTCGCGAACGCTCCCCCGTGTCCGTCAAACTGGTCGCCCCAATTGCCTGTTGTATTCGCTCCTTTCTGCTCGATGCTTGACTCCTCTGGGCCGTCTGGACATCTTTACGGGCCCTCCTCTGTCCTGCTGCTCTTTAAGGAGCTCAGAGAATTCGAATGCCAACGATGTGATCAAACCTATCAATGTGATCTCAATTCTCGGTGGAGCTCTATATTTAGACACGGCGGACATTGTATGAGCACTTGTTGATCACCGGTTTCGGGGAGGGGGAGATCGGACTCGGCTCAGTAGATCAAAACCCCGACGATCAGGACGTAGGCTATTGGATACGAGACGCTCAAAATGATGTCACGGACGGTGGCTGGTACATTCTTCTCGAAAGTCCTCCGGCGGCTCCAATCGATTGCGAATTTGATCACGATTCCGAATATGAAGATCAAGCTTGAAAGAAGAATGGCGGCCCTTATCCGAGAAGTCGAAATCGGACATTTCTGGGAATCAGGAAGCTTAGCGGAGTGTATCCAAAAATTTGGCGGACTGGACTTTGGAGCCTACCTTATTATGAGGAAGCTGTCGATCACTTTGAAATAAGATGTATTGGGCAGCACGTGACTCCACACGCAATGAGCAACGAGAGCCAGCGCGAAATCCGTCGACAGGAGTATGGCTCTAGCGTTCGCATCTTGGATCCAAGTGGTCATGTAAGCCAGGATCACGAGCATGGCGACGGGGATGAAGACCTGTGACACCGTGACGAGATATATTTCGTAAGTCGAGAATCGATTGAGAAAGTCCAACTCTCTCACGTGTGAGCATTCTCATGATTTTTTGAATTCGCCACTAATTGTCGTGGAATATACCTTGATGATGTATGGCTGCCAGCTCCTTTCCAGTGTAAATCGAGCAACGAGGCAGGAGTATTCGCCAGTATTAGTTTTTGAAGTGCAATAGTGGTCTTCAAACCACGAGAGTGTGAAATCAGTCAAACTCAGCGAGCTAGAGACTTGTATGGGTTGCGTCTTCTTCCACAGGTAGACTATCTGCTCAGTCGTGTAACCATAACTGGACATCTTAATCGAACAGGATTGGGTATCGAAGGGAAAATATTTCAGATGCATCGGGCAGGACAACTTGAGCTGAAGACGACGGCTGAGCATGATCTCGCCATTCGGGAAAACCCTGACCAGACTATTGTCCTGGAGAAAGAACAGCCATGTAGTGCTTCCTTATTCTAATCAACAGACCTTCAATTGAGGAGATCGAGGATCGTATGACCATCGAGAGCATCTCGCGAGAAGTATCGACGCGTTCCTACCTTCATGAGCTGGAAATCATGGCCACTGATCTGGTTGGTGAAAAACGTGTCAGGCGTCCAGAGGGAATGCCTATCAACGTTTTCGAAGGTCGCGTTGGGTCGCCCAATAGTCGTGGGCTCATACGCCAGCTTCGGTTCGTGCCACTGCTGTCGGAAGGTGAGCTGCGCGCTGTATGACATGTCGTTCGAGTTGAAATCCCCGAGTGACCTCACGTACACGTTCACGAAAACCATTGTGGGACCGACAGGGGGTTGCTTCTCGTAGTTCTTCCATGCTGTCGTCCAGTTGGTTGCAATAACAGATTCTGCGAGTATGAAGGAAAAAACGATAAATGCCGCTCTCGTCATGCTCGGTTCCGCTGCCGCCTCGTCAAGAGAAACTGTCCACTTGGCTTGGATTCGTCTTCCCGATTCTCCGTTCTGTTCTCGGTGAGGAAGGCGGCGTGTGTCAACATTGGCGACCGACAGCGGTATGCCCTCTCTCTCGAAGATAATTCGTTGAATTTCCAAATGATAATAGAAACGGATCTCTGTTGACATCCAACCGATTGGTCCAATCAAAAACGGCACACACGGTGCTGCTTTCAGACGATCTCTCATTCGAAGTTTTTCTCCGTTCATTGACTCTGATTCCATAGTTATGATTCGGGAGGAGAGGATGTCGACTACGGAAACTAAGGAGATCTATTGTCGGCGACTCGACGACTCAGGCTTCCGATAGATCTAGGTCGTGAAAGGAGCGCTTCTCGGAGCATCGACGGACTGCAGCGCTCCAGTATCTGAAACGCGAACTCCTCGAAGACGTCTCAATACCCATTATTAGAGCGCGTCACTTCATGCTTTTCGCATATTTAGCATGAAAATGCCTATTCCTGGACTTTTCTCATAAGAAAGCATATTCAAGGACTCGGGGCATATCGTAGCATATTATGCTGCCTAAGCGCCCTCTACACCCAAGAACAGGACTTCCTTCGAACCATGGTGTCCCAACAGACATTCTCACAGATCGAAGCTCGAGAAAAATCGAGCGACGTGCACGTTAGAGCGATTCGGAAATCATTCGAATCCGCATGTCTACCGATCGGCGTCGTTCTGCCGCAAGTGGCTCGCGGATTCAGAAACGAGATTATCTCAATCGTCGATCAGAAGTCAGTGTCGATTG